AAATTTTGTATTCTTTAATTAATTTTGAATAACTTATTAATTACTCAATAAAAAAACATTTTTGATATAGGCAAGTTTTAATAAAGAAATTTTAATTAAGCAAATGCTATTTTTTAATTTAATTTTAATCAAAATTTTAACTTTAAAATAATTATACTCAATTATTTTTTCTGTGTTCCTTACTCTCATTTATTAAGATTTACTCAATTGCAGCTGAACAATAAAAATCATGATGTCTAGGTTAAAATAAATACTTCGTAGGGAAATTGTTATCGTATTTATTTACAAGAAAAATTTACAGTACAACTTTTTTAAAATAATTTTTATTTAACATTACTTGTCCTTCATTTTTTAAATTTATTTTCAAATTTTGGTTGGTAAAATTTTTTTTCTTAATGGAATCACGTATGATATCCTATTTCTAATTTCTGAGGAATTGTACTTTTCTATAGTCCTAATTCCAATCAAAACATGTGGAAGAAAAAATTCCACTTTGTTACTTTGCATGCCATATTGTCTATATCATCAGATATGGGAGTCTGTTTGCTGTAGTATGTGCATGAAAAGATTTATAACTTTTTTATTTCATCCAATGCTTAAAAGCTTCATAAACACTGATAATCCAGTTGAAGCATTAAAATATTCCAAGATATTTTAAATTATGAATCAAGATTTTAAGTGTTTGAGAAAATATTGATGTTTAATTTAATGGCAACTCATCTATTGGAGTTGAAAAGCAGCAGTACATCTTGCAATTATTTCAGGTTTTCTTGGTAACATCTGTTTATATTTCCTTATTAGGATTTTGATGATCTTATGGAATTAAAGTTAAAAATCATTTTTTTAAATTGCCTTATATAACCTCAGTTTAGTTGTGAAAACATATTGTTGGTCTGCAAAATCTCGACTCATGTTGAAAGTATGCTTAGAATTGCATCTCGGAATTGCTCAAAAAATTTATCTAGCCTAGCTCAGGGGTGGTTGTGTACTTGTTGTGTTGATTTTTTACTTTCTCAGATTCGGATTTTCCGATAATCCAATAATACTGAAGGATTTACCATCCAAGTTCAAAAGGTAACAATTCCCTTTAAAATTAGCATTTGCCAGACTCGGGGCCTGACATTCAAAGGGGCAGGAGTACATTTAGAAAAACCTGCCCACAAAACCTCTACATCAGTGCAAAAAACGTAGTATACAAAAGTGTGTTTTCATAGATAAACAAATTACCTAACTATAACAGCAGACACTCCTGTTAGTCGTTCAGTGATGTATTATCAACTGTCAAAACTTTTAATTTCCCCTTTCAACATGTAACGAAACATTTACATTCGTGAATTTAAAAAATTTAATAATTCAAATTCTTTGTGCACAAAGTCGTGGGTAACAGCTAATATATAATAAGTGTAAATTAATGAAAATCCAGTCATTTTAAAAATATGCTTGCCTGTATGTGTAGCACATTAACAATCTAAATTATTCAAAATTATGTCAGATGTTTACATCACAATAGTTTTCAGGATTTTTGAATCGGAGTCGCAATTACCCCATAGGCAAATACTCTTCTAAATAGGAACTGCAAAGTTGAACAGCCTTTACTAATCGTAAGGAAGTTCAGAAATTGGCAACCTTTCAATATTCTTTTTTCTGTGTGTTCTTTTGTTTAATTATTTCATCTTAATTTTCACATGAATTCCTGCTTGGTATTTTGATTCCTTTCTTTATATCTCTTGTTTTACATCAGTTATTCAGGTAATTCAGTTTCGGATTCTTCAGAGAGAAAAATAAACCTTTCTGGGAGTATATCTTAAAACAAGCACTCCAGTGTTAACTAAGAACAGAATTGATTAGACATTAAAACAAGTTCACACTATTAAAATGCAGAAATTTTAAAAATCTGACATTGAACATAAAAATTTTGGATTGATTGGCAGCATTTTGCTTTACTGTATATTTTGCAGCCTTGCTCATTACCGAGTTGATGAGCCATCACTGGTTTAGATGGTACAAAATGCATAAATTATGTTATTTTTAATTCTTTAAAATTATTTTAAGGAAGGTTTCTTTTATGGTTATGCACTAAATGTGAAAATAAAAGTTAAGAGACCTGAAAAAAACCTTCTGCAAAGATACTTTAATTTCCTGTAGTTATTTGGACAAAATTGCATGGTCTGCACCCATTGACTGTAAAATGTGACAATTTTGAATTTTCTTCTTTATTTTGCAGGTTGTGTCTGTGTTAATGGTTACACAGAATACTTTAGAATTATGTTTTGGAATCAAAGCTTTACCAGTGTATTCACAGGTACATTTTCTTTTTGTATGTACAGCAGATTTGTACCATAACAACCCTCTTGGATAATCTTTTATTATCCCTAAGCTGGTCAGGTTTTGCAATAAATATATATAGGCCAAAGAAACCTATCTTGTTTATAAGGATTGTGCCAGGAGTGGCTACTAAGAAAGTCTACTCTGAATGTTATTATAAGCTTTTTATTTGTGCATGTTTTAACAGTTATTTTAAATAAGATAGAATTTTACCATAAGGTGGTACAGGGCTGCTTTACTTGTTGTCAACATAGTTTTCCTAGCAAAGTATAGGGGAAAGTGGGGTAAAACTGGGTAGCTAAGGTTCGAAGGCCTGCTGGAGCTAAAATATGCAACAGAGAGCTTGTCAGATTTTATTAAAATATTCATTGTTTATTGGAGTACAATATATATTTCCAGAAAAGTTACAGTTTCATTACTTTTTTTATCAAGGATTTTTATATAAAAAAAAAGCCGGAACTACCCGGTTTTACACCAAACCCACTAGTGGGGTGAAACCGGGTGCACATGTTAATGTTATGGTAAATTAGGAAAACTCTATTTTTAGTGGAAAAGTTTTGGTTGTTTTTATTTTATATGGCAATTTAAGAATATTAGTTACAAAATTCACATATAAAATAGTTGTCTTCTTCCTCTGCGCCACTGCAGCTTTTGTGGGCACAGCTAAGACAGTTTTTACATTAGATTAACCATTCTTCTTTATTTAAATTACAAAATTTATCATTAAAATATAAACAATCAATGCCTGACATGTTTTTATCGTCTTAATTGGAGAATCGTCAATACTGACTGTCCCAGTCTTATGCCACTTGGAGTACCCGGTTTTACCCAGAGTGCAGAGGTTATAAAGAAAGAAATAGAACAACACAATTAGTGGAGTAAATCCTTATTGTTTGATAGGGTATAAATCCTTAGTAAATGTATAATCAGCTGGACTAAAAATGGTTTTTAAAAGTGTAATGATTTTTAACTAAGGATAGTTTAAAATCAAACGAACATTCGAGAGTTGACATCTTAAAACAAACATTCATAGGAGCAGGGAATTAAACAGCTGCAATATGCCACTGTGACTGTTCCTTTTTTTTGACTAGTAGAGTGTAATTCAATATCTGTCCGCTAGAAAGAAAATTTAACATTACCAAAATCAAGGGTACCCAGTTTTACCCCACTCTCCCCTAAATAAATACTGTTCTCATATTGATTATCAGTTCTTCAGAAACTTGCTCTCTATTTGGAGTGCAATTGTTAAAAACTTAACTACATTCTGTCATTTTGTGTGGCTTCATTTCACTGTTAAGTATAGGAATAAATTTTTGTGAGATTAGAATTTTGTAAAAATATTCTTAAGAACATTGTGTTGCGTGGAAATTTTCTTTGTCTGATATGAAATTTAAGTTTTGGAAAGCACTTTGGATCTTGCTTGTATTTTCTTTTGTTATCCATTCTTTTAGAATAGTAGTTAGATTTTTTCACCTGCACTTGCAATTAATTAGCTATGCTTGTATAAAAAAAAAGCAACAGAAAATTGTTTCATCTTATCCTAGTGTTTTGATTGATGAAATAAGCTGTGCCTCACAAGAATGTCTGATTTGAAAACAATTACAAAGAGGGGTAGAAAAAAAAAAGAATCCATTAAAAGATATTCAACAATAAAACAAACATTTGGAGACAGTAACAAAATTTTGGAATACTTCAGCTTGTTAAGTTTCTTCTTGTGTTTCTATTGATGTTAGTCCTAATTCAAAAGATTATAAAAATGACACCGCAATTTCAGATCAAATTATCAATTCATCTTCTCTTGTAAATACAGATCCAGAATCTAGCAGTGTGGTTCTGCCAAAAAAAAAAAAAAAAAAAACCAATGTTTTAACCACTTAAAGGACATAACCAGAGTTAACTCGTCCTATATACTGTAGATTACAAAATAATTCAGTCCTTAAGCGGTTAAATTCTCATCATTCTGGTAGTGAAATGAGTACTTCAAGTGCATTGGATGAAGACTTCTTGGAGTACGACACTAGGGTGGCCCTTATTATAATGGCAAAAAATTTACTTAATATTTTTTAACACACACCCTTTAAATTTTTTCCTTTTACCATAATATGTATGTATACAAATATTTCTTTAATATATAAAGGTTAACCCGTGCCGCATCGAGCTTGAGGTTTGGCATATAGAGTGTGCCAGTGGGTATGCACCATAAGCTGAATAAAAATTATTGAAGGTGGAGAGCTCACCACTCCTCTAACCTTGTATTAACATTCCTCCTACTTGCTCCGGCACTTCCACTGACAATGAATCAGTTAGTTTGGTCTAATCACACTTGAAAGTGCATGAGACGCTCTCCATAACACAACCTGGCTATCACGGAACGGCAGCAAATTATCTCTACAGAATAATATTCAGCTGTTTTGTAATTAAGCAAGGAGAGACAAGCGGAGCTCGAATCTGATGCATTACATCTCCAGGTAGAAGTGACTGAGTACAACGACCAAGAATCTAATTCTGAGACTGACATGGAGGACAATCCAGTTCACGAAGAATTATAAACTCGAACACAAACGTTTGTATCATCCATCCATTCAACCTTAAATCTTAATACACTTTTTTTTTTATTTAAAACCCACACCGGTCTGGCCTACCTGAAAGGGTGTAAGGCCTTTAGCAGGAAATGCCAACAGCACGCAGTGTTCCCAGGTGGTCACCCTCCCAAGTACCGACCGCGTTCGATGCTGCTTAACTATGGTGATCAGACGAGAACTGGTGCTTTCAGCATGGTATGGCCGTTGGCTCTTAATATACTATAAAAAATATTGTGTATAATTAAATAAGCATAGAAATGGGAAAAAATGGGATTGTGCATAAAGTGCGCCAATCTGATTTGAGTGCTCGAAAAAAATCACCTATCTGCAAAGGGTTAAATAAAAATGTAGGAGAAAAAAAATGATAAAAATTAAGCATTTAAAATTGTATTTTTGTTATTCATATAAAGAAACTGTATTATTTTGCTATAATAATTTACAGTTTTAATCATACAATTTTTGATAATATATTAAAAACTAAAATACATACAGTTTTTAATAATACACTGAAATAAATTTTTGCATTTAAGAATTGCCTTGTTTTGTAGTCCGGGTACTACTGTCTGTGGTCTTGAAAAAGAAACTGCTTTTGCTCTTCATCCACAGTTAAAAATCAATTAAAAACTTGCATAAATTTTACCCTTCTTTCGGCTGTAATTATTGACAACACTGAGTTTCCCCTGAATGTTACTTATGACTTTAAATAAAAATCGTCCCTATCCCAAAGATCCGAACTGAGATTCAGAAATCCAATTTCTCCATATTCAATTTCTTAAATAAATAAAAAATTTTCTGAGAAATGAAGTCTGCTAATGCTTTCTCTGAAGAAAAAGTAACAATGAACTAATTTTTTGATGTCATATCTAAATTCTGAATGACTTAAATTGTAAATATTCATTAGAAAATTTTGTTAAAATTTTGAAAAATGATAAAGAATGACCGTCTTTATAAATTCAATGAGCTCCCTTTAATCGAGCTTCAGTTTTCATTTTTTAAGTTCATTTGAAAAATATTTTACATTACTCTCTGTATTTTGCTCTCACTACATATTTTGTTCAAGTCCTTATTCCAAATTATTCCTTTTTCTCTGACTTTTTTTAAAGAAAACATCTAGACTACTAGTCACTTTAGATAATCCATTTTCGAAATCACTTCGTAGCACTTTTTTGTACATCTGATGCCGAGATGGAAAATATGCCATCTCTCGATCTTCATACTGCTTTAGAAATGTAATCGCACTGTTGATGTGACCAGTATTGGAAGTATTTGTGTCAGAATATAGAATTTTAGCCTTGTCCTCCAACACCCAATCTTTTAGAATACTCCAGACAGCCATAGTTTGCTCCTTCCCTGAAGAATTTTCTAATTTTGGCACCCAAATATTTTTTCTTGATCTTTATATGTAACAATGCTAGGTAGCCTTTCACTTTTTAAATCTCACTCATTTAAAACAGGTAGCAATTTTCCATCCCGAATAAAGGATACAAAACTAGGTTCATTTCCTTTGAAATTATTCTTTAATTTTAGTAGCCTTCTTATGAAAATCTTTGGATCGTATTTCGATTGAATGCCACTTCATCTATGTTATGCCTTACAGACTCGTCTACGGTTTCAAGAACAAAAACGACATGTTACTGACTAATGTGTCATCGGTTGAATACAGCCATTCATTTAGGAGTTAAAAACATTTTCTCCTAAGTACTTTTTTATCGCTAATCCTATATGTGCATCTTTGTTCCTCTCAAGAGACGTCTGGGTAATAAGTTGATGAAGGCCCAGGTTGATCGGAAATATCCTGGATGCTTGACGATTCTTCTGATGAATCCATACAGTTGCCAGCGATCTCCAAACTACAATGAGCCTTAGTCCGTGTGCTTTCTAGTTCAATACCTTTTCTTCACGATTTGCAAGCTTCATATCGATTCCCATAAAGACATCACCTCCGCCCTGGCTCTCTTTGACAAAATAAAAATATTCCCTCTTCAATTTTATAATTTTCAAAGTTTTAGCATCAGCAGTAGTGTCAATTAAACTGTTTAAATCTGATGTAAAATTACGTTCTTGTTCTCACTGTGTTTCTGTCCTCCATTTTTGAAGATTGTGCCAATAAGGGTACATCTTCATAATTTTTTCTACACAATGAGGTGGTGCTCTTTTAGGAAACCTTGCCTTCTCTCAAAAAATCAGACATTCGTGCACTACTGAATTGGCACTTAGAGACAGTTGAATCTCATGTAAATTATAAAATAACATCGATAGTACTTGCCAGTTGGATGGAAGTTTGCATCTGTTAATTTGGTGACACTCACTACCAATTTAATAGATATTTCTATCGCCACTTCTCAAATTACAAGCCATGATTGCACACATATTTGACTCAGACAGCGACTAGGGCAGATTGATGGCCAGTCGCTGGTGGAGGATGGAGCGCTCTACCTGCACCCACAGGCTTCCCACTTCTGCTGCAATGCAGCACGTAATCCCAACCTCTGATTTCAACAAATGAGGTCTCTGGTTGTTCCTTGGAACAAAAGGAAAAAAAAAAAAAAAAAAAAAACTGGAGTGTGTGCAAATTGAAATTAAAACATTAATAAATAAGGGCCACTCTAGTATGACACAAATGAATTTCTTGGAAGATGTACCTGCAATCTGAAAAAAGGCCTTTAACTTAAAATAATTTTCGGATACGAAGGAAAAAGAAAGATTTGCTCTAAGAAATAGGCCGTTTGCACTCTAGTTCCACTTATTACTAAATCATGTAAATAGAAAAAATAGCCACATGGTATGAGGGATGGTTGTTCCCATAATTCCAATCAAGTAGAAATAAAGATATCGTTTCTGTTTTTCTTTTATTGATTTTAAACATGGATTGTTTACTTTTACTTTTTTTTCTGGTGGAGATTTAATTCATGACATTTGTTTCCTAAATTATTTAGCTCTAATTTGATTCCTTAAGTCTTGCATATTGAAATTTTATCTTGCATTTTGCTTGCATAATGATTACATGTAACTTCTTTATAATCTTGTTTTTTAATCTTGGCATGAGCAAAAGACTTTTATTTATGTTTTTAACAGCCATTTTGTATTCTACTGTATGTTTAACACAGCCATAACCATAACTGACTCTTGAACCAAAAAATCTTATACTTGCATATTCATTTACTATTACTATAATATATTCTCCAGTTATTAAGAAAATATTTCTTATCAATCCATTGCTCTGAACTGTAAAGATTATACTTTTCAAACACTGTGAACCATACATATATATTTTTTATTGAGTGACAACTGCAAATTGCTATTCTTAAAATTAAATCACAGTCTGATTTTGATAGAATTTTTCAATGTATCTAAGACCTCTTGTTCACTTCCATAAAAAGGGTCTTCATTTAGACCCTGTAAAAGAAATGGATGATAGAATAATTCAAATTGAAAATGAAGTCTGATTTCTGGGCTTTGTCTTTGAGAATAAACTTACATTTCTACTGCATAATAAAATATTAATTAAAAAAAATGTGAAAGAGCTTTAAATATTCTGGAAGTTCTTTCAAATAACTCATGGGGAGCTGACAAACTGATTAAAATGCATGCATATTGAGCTACTGTTGTCTCCAAACTGGTTTATGATAGTGCAATTTATGATCCTGCCCAACAAAGCATTCTGCAGAAATTTGATCCCCATCATCTGCACTGTGACTTGGTTCCAGAGCATTCAGAACATCATCCCATCCAAGTTCATATGTTAACTACTAGAAACTGCACCTTGAAGTCGGACATCAGATGCTCTTCCAATACTCTTATTTGTGTATCTTATAATATAATGTATGATACTAATCAGCTAATATGATACTAATCATCTATTAGCCTCCAGCTCCATCTCTTTTTACATGGCTTACAACAATTAAAACCATCTTTCATACCACCTTTTTTTTCACTAACATGCATTATATTATGATAGATTTTAATTTTCCTAAGGTACCCATATTTTCTCAGCAAATGAGCATTTATGTCCTTGGAAAGTCTTTGAATTTAAATATTGAAACCTATTTGGTTCATTGGATAAATTTAATACATCAGAAACAATCTTTCTGCAACTTTTTTTCTGATTATAGACAAAAATTCCAGGACCTCTCAATTCTTATTTGCTGTTATTTTTCCTGACTGTTCCAGCTTTTACACTCCATCCTTTCTTCTCTGTTTTCACAACAGAGATTACTGCTATCTATCGTACCTTGAGTCCCCAAGAGAAAAATATGCATTATACTCTGATCCCTCTAGTATCGTGGAGGTGTGGAATTTCTTACATTATAAAAGTATCCATTAGTTTATATGTTGTATCTCTACGAAAATCTTGATTACAAAGGATTTTCTCTATTGTTCTGTTGTGTACTATCTGATCTCGGTAAAACAGAAAATGAATAAATGGACAGTGCTGCTCATTCAGCCTTCCACTTTTAAATACTCCAGTACCAGCTTGTGATCTTAAGAAACAAATTAACACCTGTTTACAATTTAAATGGCAAAGACAGTGTAACCAAGAAGTTGGCAACAAACTTTACAGCATTAACCCTTTTGGGACGAACTCCCGCTGAAGGAAGTGCTCCCATAGGACAGGAGCTGGCAAGCGCCGACTGTCCCCACCAGCCGAAGCATTTTCTCCCGCTAAGCCTAACACATATTAAATTTCATAAAAAGTGTGAGTTTTATAATAATGTATAAAAAGCACCCTTTACATACAAAAATAAATCATTTTTAAATATGTGATAAAAAGATATATTCTAAATCATAATTAAAAAAAGTTTAATTAAAATACTTGATTTGTAATTATAAAAATTAAAAATATAGTGTATTTCACTCTAGTTTGAAAGAACCTAAATAAACACTAGATTATTGATGCAAAATATGAAAACGTAGGAAAAAATAAATATTTACATTTAATATTATAAAAAAATTCAAGAAAATTGTAATAATTAATACTTCAAAGCCTTATGAAACATCTTCTATTTTAGTTCTCCACTGACATGACAGAATTGGAACCCATATATTAGTACTATCCACTTCTAATTCAGAATCTGAAGATTCAGAACCATCTGAAGAACTCTAATAATTTATTGTTTTGTCATTATAATCGGAAAAATCTATAAATGGGTCATTTAAAAATGAACATATTTCCTCCTCGGAAAGATAACATGTTCTTTTAACCATA